TCTCCTCTGAGTAGTATCCAATCTGTCTAGGTGGGGCTGATGAAAGGAGATGAGGATAGGTCTCTTGTGATACAATAGTGAATAATTGTTATCAGGACTGACTGTGAGGGTTGGAAATGTAAAGGTAGACGTTGTGTAGCACAAGGAGTGGAGTGGTTGACTTTGCAGTCCAGGCGAGGAGGTCTCTGGGACCATCAAGGGAGAAGAGTGGAGTGTGGGACTCTACCCAGAGAAACAGTGATGCCAGAGATGGAGTCAGAGATGATGACATGGAGAGATGGAGCGGCTGGGAACTCTAGACCCAGAGAGGAAGAGGGGCTGTATGCTGACGACCGGGGGGCAGACTTGCAGACCCTTTAGTTATTTGATGATGCATGGAGGGGATTGTAACCATGGCAATGAAATGATGTATGATAGGATGAATGTAAAGCTAATATTCTCCCATATAAACTATCAAATAATTCACAATAAAACATTTTTTAAAAAAAGAGAGAGAAATTGATTAAGACACACCATATCTGAATCGTGCCTCGTTAACATAGCAAAGACACCCCATTTCCAAATGGAATTCTAACAGCTAGTCTAGAGGTTAGTGTTTATAACACAGTCCAATCCATAGCCCCTACTCTTACTCTAATTTGTTCTGAGTATTTGGGAACTTTCTGTTTTCTTACAGTTTCTATCTAACTGTGTAGCCGGGGCTTCGCTTGAGGAAATTACAGAGGAAGAGGAAGAGGAAGATGAAAGTAAGTCAGCAGCCCTGGAAGCTTCATCAGTCAAACTCAAGGAAGGCACCTTCCAGATTGTGGGCACGCTTGCCAATCCCGAGAGCACGCAGCTGGAGTTTGCAATGGAGACGTACGCTGTGAGTCGGGCCCTGTAGTTAGGAGTGGAGAGAGGGAAGGATGTGGGAGCACAAACAATCGACTACTAACCAAAGAGCTTCCTGTCCTGGCTCCAGGAGGTTCTGTGCACAGGGATCTCTGGGTCCAGAAGACTCGCTCCATCCTGGCTCTTCTTGGGAGGCAGCGAGGTTCCCCCTCCTGCTTCTGTGATGCCTCATTTTACACCCATATTACCGTTTCCACATTTTACAATCACGGTGAACTCTGGTAAGTGTCATTCACAACGGAACCTAGAATCTATCAGCATCTTCCCTCACCTTCTCTTACCCAGATGCATCAGGAAAGTCATGTGGTGGGAGTTGACAGACTATGTCTAGTTGTTAAGTACCATTGAGTCAGTTCTGCCTCATAGTGACCCTGTTTAGGGTTTCTGAGGAGCGGCTGGTGAGTTTGAACCGCTGTCCTTTCAGTTCAAACTGACCTTGTGGTCCAGTGCTTATCCTACAGCACCACACCAGGACGCCGACCATGGCTGGAAGAGTCATTAAAGTACCCGCTGCCTCCTACAAGGCCGCCTCCACCTGACAGATGTCAACAGTCCTCCCTGTGAGACACTGAAAGAGCTAGGAGGAGGATGTCCCTCTTCTCCTCCAAAGCCAGCCCCTCCCCATACCTCATCTCCCATCACCCAACCAGCTCTAGTCCCCTTTTAAGAGCCAATGCGGAGGTTTCCTCCTCTAGGAAGCCAACCATGATTCCTAGTTCTCGCCTCCCAGCTGTCATTTTGGGCTCTTTTCCATTGCTGCCTCAGTCATAAACCATCTCACACTGGACTCCAATATGTGTCTAACTGAATCCCTCTGACTACAGCAGGCAGCTTCTCGAGGGCATTTTAACAACAGTCAGTTCTGAAGATTCCTTGTGTGGTGTCGTAGGATAAGCACTGGACTGCTAACCACAATGTCAGCAGTTCAAACTCCTCAGAAACCCTACACAGGGCTGCTGTGAATCAGAACTGACTCGACAGCAGTGAACAGCTGCTACAAGAGCTCCACATGGCACTTGTCTCTACGCCTCCTCCTCATGCTTCTAGGTTCAAATCACAACTGTTTCACTGTCTTCCTCCTGGACGGCACACCTGCGATGCCGCCCAGCCTCCCATTTCTTCTCCTTGCCTGGACCCGGCTCCTTCCCAGGTGTACTCCGGAGCAGAGTGTCCTTCCACATTGCTGCACGGTGGACAAAGTGGAGCGTGGACGCTTAGATGCGCGTTGTCAGAGATCCAGTGTAGATGAGTGCCTGGGAGCAGAAACCAGCTGTCCAGGTGCTCGGATTTGGCAAGGCTTTGTTAATGTCAAGGAGACCTGGTGGTGTCATGGGTTCAGTGCTGGGCTGCTGTCTATAAGGTCAGAGATTCAAACCCACCAACTGATACTTTAGTGACTCTTCTGGTCATAGTCTGTCAACTCCCACCACATGACTTTCCTGACGCATCTGGGTAAGAGAAGGTGAGGGAAAATGCTGATAGATTCTAGGTTCCGTTGTGAATGACACTTACCAGAGTTCACCGTGATTGTAAAACGTTGGAACTCTTTATGGGTGTAAAATGAGGCATCACAGAAGCAGCAGGGGGGATCTCACTGCCTTCCAAGAAGAGCCAGGAGTGGAACGAGTCCTCTGGACCCAGAGATCCACACGCATCTTCCGCCTCAAGGAAAAGATCAGCCATCTGACCTCGGAACCCCATGGAGCCAGTTCTCTGTGCTGTAGGGTCACTGGAAGTGGGAGCCAACTCCATGGCAGTGGGTGGTTGTGCCGTGGTTGCTGAGACCACCAAGACAGTCCTATGGGTCAGTAAGGACTCAGTGGACTTCCCCTTTATTCTGCCACCAAGTTCCATGGTTAGAGAACAAGTCTGATGGGAAATGTCCGGCTTAATGCAACCGGTCAGGGAACAGGAGACCAGCCCTGTCTGATCCTCGATCTGGTGAACTGACGGAACGCTCAAGGCCAGCTTCAGAAATGAAGTGTCTGTTGGTTATCTTCGTCTCCACCCCTAGAGTTGCACTCCTGGGAAATGTGTTGACTTGAGTTGCAAGGAAATGCTAGTTCCCAACACACTGATTACCAAAGTGACTTTTGTCTCGTGTGAGAACGTTTCCTTTTTCACCACTGAAAGTTTGTAGTTTAAAAAGGTTCCCAACTGGCCACTGCCATCCTTACATCTAGAATGAGGCTAGATTAAGTCCATCTTGAGGGTCCTGAAATGATGTGGGCACACGCTGGCACAGAATCTGAGCCACCACGAAAGGCCTCTCATGTTTGCTTCTACAGCTTTCTGATTCTTCTCTCCTGAGAAGGATTGTTGGAACAGCAGCGTGTAGACATGGTCCCTACGATCATAATGCAGATTTCAAGACATTTGTTCTGGGCTTTCTTCAGCTACGTCTTTGTGACTTAAAACCCCCCTGCAGAAGGAAGCCCCAATCCCATTTTAAGCAGAACTCCTACACACGCCTCTCTCACGGACCCCTCAGTGGCGAACATTTCAGTGGGAAGCTATCCTTCTGGCTGCATGTCCAGGTCCCCTTGTTCTCTTTTAGCAACAGAAGACTGTTGATTTTTCTTTCCAGGCCATCTCCCGAGAAGACCTGCTCATGCGTCTGATGGAATGTGATGTCATCATCTACAACATCACCGAGCACCCCCAGCAGGTGGAGCAGGCCATCTGGGCAGTGTCTGGTCAGTGAGGGCCCCTCTCCCATCCATTAGGTAGACACGGACTTGTGGCCACCAACAGGGACACTCCTGACCTCTGGGTCCCCTCAGTGTGTCTGAGTCCATCCATCTCATATAGGGTACCCCCCTCGCGTGTTCGCTGACCCTCCCGATAAGATGTCCTTTTCTACATACTGGCCCATCTCCATGGCATATCCAAGTCTCACCGTCCTTGATTTACACCCACCAGCTGCTCCTTGGAAACCCTATACAGGGTCACTATGAATTGGAACAGACTCAATGGTATATAACAACAGCAGTGTAGCTACAAGGAGCCCTGAGGTGTAAACATTCTGCTGATATTTCTTCTTAGACTCATGTGTTTGCTCTTTTGGGTACATCCAGACCAAAACACCCACTGCCGTCCACTCAGTTCTGACTCATCACGACCCTATAAAGCCGAGTAGAA